ATCTACTGAGAGTAAAATCATTGTATTTGTCTAAAAAAAGATATAACCCTCAAGGGATTCCAGCCTAGACAAGGCTGAGGACTGCAACACAACTTCAGTAAAATAAAGTATGCCACTAGAGAAAATACAGGTTGAGTTCACTCAAACTGACTTGTATCAGGTTAATTAACGAATGAAATATTCCACTTTTGATTAAACTGATCCCAGACAGAGTATTTAATTGAATTTTTTCTAATGAAAAATCAAGTATTAATCTGCAAAATCAACATTTTCCAGTTGACCATGTTGATTTTTCTGGACCGATATTTTTTCTGGAAAATAAACAAGTTCAGAATTACACTAAAATATGTCTTGAATTATGAAAAAAATTGCTTTCTCTCACTCCGACAGCTGTCATTTATAGCTGCTGCCCATCAATATTTCTCTTAGTTCCAAGTAACATGAACATTTGTTCAGTTTCTCAACCTCTGGTGAGATAACTCACAATCTTTTTCCCTTTTGGGGTTGTTTTTAAATCTGAATGCTATACTACTGTTCTTTTGCAACAAACTCAAACTCTCAAAACTTTCTACCTTTTAAAGTGGAAAAGCTTAAAGCTTTCCAGTTTTTCATTTCAGGCAGTGGTAAAATACACATCTTCCTGTACCCTCTTCTTTAAGAACACGCAGAAGCTCAAAGCTGAGTTTTCTTCAGTAGAAACTACTGAGGAGCTGGAAAACATTTGACCTGCAGTGCTGCAGGAGCTTCCACAGCTGCAGAGCCGTGAAATGGGTAAAGTCTCAATGAGCCTGTCTGAGGAAAAGCTGTGCACGCTCCCGGGAAGCTGAACCCTGGGGACTTTAATAGCCAGGGAATTTCTCCTCCCCTGTCTCTTTGCTGCTGGTGTCCTTCCCAGTTCAGGCTAGGCACATATTCAAGATGCAGGTGCACACACACACACATGCACACACACATGTACAAGCATGCATGACACTAATGTGGCCGGCCACACAGACCAACCCAAAGAGAGCTGTGCCTTTACCAGCACCCACAGAAACAACATCATCACTCCCATCAGCAAGCTCGTGCCTCTTCCTCCTTTCTGGCTGAGCAGGTTTGAAGATCACTAGTGAAACATGCACACCCCTTCCCTCTGTAGATGCACAAGCACATCACACTAATGGTCCCTCAGTTATTATCATGGGCTCTAAGTCTATTATCCATACCAAGACCTCAAGACCTTTACCTACCCACTCAGACCTTGGGTCTTTCCAGATATGTCTCCTCCCACTCTCTGGCTGGTTCAGTTTGAAGTTCCCTAGCGAATTACAAATACACAAACATGCAGATATGCAGGATTAGATTAATTAATTAGGATTAATTAAAGAAAAACACACACAAATTTTGGGCTTTCCAGGTGCTGGTATCCAGACCTACAGGCCCCTGTGACCCATGCCCCCTTCTCAGGAAGCCCAGCAGAAACACAACTGAGCCCATGCAGAGCCAGCCTGGTTATGGGGGAATGCACTTGCAAGGACTTGCATAGATGATGTTTCTACCTCACCCTTGGGAAGCCATAGAAGAAGCCAGTACCAAGTGCTTTTCTCTTATTGATGTTTAGGTGGTCGATCAGTCCTCTCTCCTCAGCCTCCAGCAGCTCCCTGACACTGTTGAGCTCCAGAGAGCTTCACATGCACTATACGTGGCCACTGCTCCTGCATGGAAGCAGAGAGCATTCAAGCCAGGTCACACCTCTTCTTCTTATGTGAGTTATGTGCAGGAGACTGGCCTTGTCCTCTGTCAGAATTGCTGCTGCAGCTGGGTGAAGGCAGGAGTATCAGAGGGATGAATCCTAGACACTGTTCTTGTTGCATCTCTAAACAGCCTTTTCTGTACTCTCAAAAAACTCTCCAGGAGCCTGGTTACGAGGAGAAGATGCATCCGGAAAAGGGCAGCACAGCAGGATAAACTCTGCCAAGTCTAAAATTAAACTTAAGAGGGCTTAAGAGATCAGTTATACAAGATACCCAAAAATAACTTAGAATAAATCCTAAAAGGAACAGTGAAAGCACTGCTGACATCTTCAGTTCTCAGTGAGATGCATGTCTGCATGTTGAAGTATGAATGTGGTCTATAAATACTACCAGTGGTTACCATTGCAAATGGAGAAGAGGTGTCCAGTACTCCAGCAACAGGGACAACAAAGGGAAGTGTTCTTCATCAGAAGAACCTTTAGCAGTAAACCAGGCATAATCCAGATACCAGCCATTGAAAGTGAAGTGACCTCCCTCCAGGCTTTTCTCCGTCTCCAACCTACAATCATGCTTTGTGCTATGGCTCTAAAAGGCCTTTTTCTGGACTCCAGCATTTTCTGTCCATATTATTTAAACTGGAGGACTCGGCCACAGCCAGGTCTCCTGGGCAAGCTGATTTGAGGGAGGATGAGGATGAACATTCCTCCAAATAGCCTGTGATCACACTCTACATCTGCCCTGCAGACAAGGCACCTATAGCCAAACGCTATAGTACCATTCGCTTCCTCAGTACCCAGGCGTTTCAGCAAGGCTTTGTACCTTACCATGTGTCTGAAAGGCTTACCGTGTTTCTCCAGCTCTCAGAACAGCCTGTGCAGTTTCTGTAGTAGCAAATGCCATTCCCCTTTGGCTGTCCTGGGATAACATGCTAGAGAGTCAGGTATTTGTTAAAGTTTCCAGTAATATGGCTTTAGCTTCACTGCAACCACAGGTGAGAGATGACTCAGTGCTAGCCAGTTAGCTTGAAGTCAGGTTAAGATAAAACTGCAATAAAAGTAATAGCTTACATCTGAAAAAAACCCCACAAAACCCAAACCCACACCACAGATCCATATGGCTAGAATCCTGCTTAATCTGCTTATATCCAGTCGAAATCTAAGGGTCACTCTCCCTATATTCCCTTGATTTTATGTCAACGCATTCCCGCCACACCTCATGGCCTAAAACTCAGAGTCTCTGGATGAGAATGATTCCTACTTACAGCAAGTATCTTTTATAGTCCACCTATTTATCCTGTTTTTTTGGTGCGGGGCCTAAAGTACACCACGTGTGAAAAGAAGTTGAGGGATATGGGCTTGTTCATGTCCCTACAAATAGAGGAAGGATGACTACAAAGATGACATTGCAGCTAAAGAAGCTCAGGTTGGGCATAAGGAAACACTTCTCCAGAAGGGTAGTGCAGCCCTGGGACCAGCGTGGGGGAGCAGCTCCATCACTGGAGTCACTAAAGAATGGGTATCATCATCCTTGAAGTATTTCAAGATTTGCTGGGCAAAGTCACAGCTGAGCTGATCAGGCATTAGTGATAGTCCTGCTCTGAACAGGAGGCTGGACAACGGACCTGCAGGGTCCTGTCAACACAACGTTTCTGGGATGCTGTGATTTCTGTGATCCCCCAGGTATCTTTCAGTCTGTCTGCCCCAAAACTTAATAACTTACTCATCTGACATTCCTTCTGCTCAGATATGGATGGGCCTACCTACCTCTTTGGGAACAGAGATGGTGCTTTGATAAGTCAAGTGCCACTTCCTTTTCTTGACTGTCCTCTTGACAGTGCCTGGATTCACAGAGTAGAAGTCCTCCCCTATGCCATGGAGATATTGAAAGGTTCATTTCAATGGCAGGTCAACCTTTTCTTTTATAGCAATTTATACAGAGACAAACAGACTGCAGACTATGTACACAGTATTTTCTAGCATATTTAGCATAGGTTTAAAACTGCAATAAATAAATAAATGTGGTAATAATAGCATTATAATAATAGATTGTAATTTCAGCACAGCTATCATTTGAATGATAACGTTTATCTCAATCCTGCCAACAAAGACACCAGAAAGATTAACATTTTATATTGGTTTGTACATATAATTAATTACAACTAAGAAAAAAATTACACAGTGACTTCAACATCACTACAGCGTTTCACTGTTTATTCTTTTTTAATGGCTCACATTTCCTAAATCAGTCTTTTGACTGTGCAATTAAAATTGAGCAAAACTAATAAAAAAACCTCCTCCTGAAGCTGTCTTTGCATCAATTAAAGTCTTAAAGGGCAAAATGGATTCTTCTCCGTTACCTCTGGCAGGCATGCTGTGCTCTGATTCCTCGAGGCAGGCAGGCTATTGGTCACCTCGGAACATCACATATTGAAGGAAACACACACTTGGTGTACCTAGAGCAGAGGAATTATTTTATAATCTCTGATTGCCTGAAGAAGTAAAAAGAAAGGTCAAAACATCCACCCTTAAGACACATTTCCTGCGCAGAAGCAATATGCTTCGCAAGAATGCCTGCAAAAACGGAGGTGGAGTCCTAAACAGAGGAAATTTAATTTACAATGATAAATGGATGCAGCAGCCACAAAGCAGAGGGAGTGGCACAGGGCTGTGATGGTCATAGCAAGGCATTTGCCTGCTTTTTTAACAATTTTTTTTTAAATGCTATGCAATTGCTTAGCTTGCTTTGTGCTTCAGGTTTTGTCTGTCCTAGTCACATGTGTCATATCTGCCTATTGAGACATCTGTGCCCATGGCAATGCTTCCTGGCACTGGGAGGTTCGGTCAGACCCTGGTGGGGCACAGGCATTGTCTTGACGATGAGGAGGAGGAGGGCAAAAGTGTTGGTGAAAGAGGCCTGTGTCCTCCCAATGCTACTCCATCTGGAGTGCAACACTGTTCCCGGCCTTGGAAGAGAGCATCACTGACCCAACAGGGACCCAACCATCAGAGAAAACGACTTCCTTCACTAACTGTATTTCACACTCCTGGTCAAGGGACTGTATCCTAAGGGAGAGCCCAGCCTTGTGAGCACAGCGGGTTTGGTCCAGGCTGGAGGCCCAGGTGAATGTCTGCTCTCTGTGTGGGACAACCTCGTGGTCCTTAGAGCCTCAGGTGGGAGCAGTGGCAGAAACACCAGTCAGAAAGAGGAGGCAGAGGAAAACCAATCAACTTCTGTCTCCTAAAACAATCCTTTTCTTTTAAAGGTGAAAAATGTCGGAGTTTTATTGACCTTGCCCCGGCTTCTGAAAAAGGTAAGACAATACAGTCAAGGCTTCTTCCCATTTTACAAATTGCATCAGTATTGTTTCTTGTCGTACTTCAGCACCAGGGGAAACATGACTTCCTAAGCACACAAGGACCTACATGTCATCCAGATTACACAGATGCAGGTGAGACAAATACCAAGGGTTTAAGACAGCTGTTTACTCAGTTTATGCAGATCTGTCGTTTCTCTGATGCATTTTCTCTTCATTCAGCTGAATTTTTTTCAAGAAAACAAAGACTTATATTGTAACACAGACATTTCCCTTCCTCTAGTGAGGAAGGACATGCTACACGGTTTCCTCAGGCATGAAGACTTTTATGGTTAGAAAACGGCGGTCACAGTACCAAAGGTCTCTTTGTGAGAGGGAATCGCGTAGATGCTTGTTTGTTTGATTTACCCTCGGGAAAAAATTATATTCAAGTGCACAGAAAGAGGCAGGCTGCAAAGGTTTTCTTTACCCTGATACCGGAGTTGTAAATTCTCAAATGAGCAGTTTAACCCATATTTCAAAATAGTGTTTATCATGAAAAATATGGGTAGAGTTCAATTAACAAACTGGGCAGCCCATCCTGCTCCCTGCTCAAGACAGAGCGCTCTGCCCACAGCTGAAGAGGTGCGCGAGCCTCGCGGTGTCCTTCAGGCTAACAGCGGGCTTCTGGAGCATCCAAAGGAGAGAGGAAAATTCATGTTGGTACAAAGAAGCGGTGTATTTTGTTAGATCACTTGAGACAATCACAAAACCTTCCTGGCATACGGTACCTTCTTCGGGTCTGACAGAGAGGCAGTAAGTGGTGTAAGGAACAATTTGTTTGTCTGAATTGCTGATCAGCTGGACAAATTGAAAGAGAAGGGCAATTACCATTAATAAAGCAGTGGGGTATTTCAGTGAGAGAGATAGTAACAGAGACAGTCTGTGAAATTCATTGTAAGTAAACCTAAATAAATTATGCACATAAGGGAAGAACAATCCTGGGATTACTGCTGCTAATGGGCTCTGAGCTGAATCTTACACACACAAATGGGACCTTGGGGCATAACTGTTCTTATGAAACCACTAGCTCAATACTCAGCAGCAGTCAAAAAGCAAACTATCTGTTAGAAAGCATTAGGAAAGGACTGAGAACAGAGCAGAGACTATCCTGTTGCATGAGGACTGTATACATCCGAGCGCTTCGACTTATGTAAAATATAGTGTGGTATTTTGTCCTTTTTAGTCCAGCTCACAGAATGGCAGCAAGGATAATCAGAGTTCTGGAAGGTTCTGTACAAGGACGAGACTAAGACTCTTCAGCCCGAAGGAGAGGCATGTGAGAGGAGATATGATGGACATTGATAAAGATGTAAGGGGAACTGAAAAGGCAACCTGGGGAATGGTAGTTCACTGCCTTTCCCAGTACAAGGACTAGTGAGCGTTGCATGACACCTTCAGGAGACAGACTCAAAACAAGCACAGTATGTCTCATAAAGGCAATGGGAGGCTTTTGTGCTTTATCCATTTTCTGTGAAAGTTCATTATGGTGCAGAATGCTTGGTTGCATCACCCACACGCTTTCCAAAACAGCATTTAGTGCTTTACTTAAGTATTTCTTCTGGTTGTGCGAAATGCTCTCAGCAATTTTTTTTTTAATTGAATTTTAGAGTTGGTGCACGATGTCAATGCATATTTCTAGACTATTCTATTTTTCCTTTTTGAGGAAGGAAGGTTCTTTTGGTGTAGCGGTATAAAGAAACTTACAACTATTTCTGAAGTCTTGCCATGGAGTTGTAAGGTGTATTGACAGAAAGAGAGGGGAATGCTCAGTCAGAGATGGAAAGTGCTGACCATCTGACTCATAAACAACTGTAGATCAAGTTGGACACTGCAAGATAGTTAATCTGAATTTTTCACCATCAGTCTTGTGCTGTCCAGAGATACGTTCATCACATGTGAAGAGAAAATTTTGTGTCAACGATGCCCAACTTACTTTTGCTGCAGAATTCAACTTCTTGACTTGTTTTCTTCTCTTTTCCAGACAGAAAGAACTTCCTACACCTTTAATTTCTTCACCCCCTCACTCAGCATTGACTTTAATGGTCACAGGCTTGTCAACTACTCAATTACACCCAGTGCTGGGACAGATTCTTGATTCTTCTTCCAAGTAAACGAGATATGAGAAAATGCATTGAATATAAAAAGTGGAGCTCAGTTATACAAATATATTGTGGTTTTCACAGTCCATTGTGTAACTGGAAATTTTTGGACTAAACTTATCTGCACAATGAGACTTCGGCTTATCCAGTTTCTCTACACATTCTTAGCATCACTTACCACTAAAACGTGGTTGTTCAAGGTTTCGATTATCTAAAATGTCTCCATGTGTATATGTTCTGCTACTGCAACTGAGCACTCAGGCTTTCTAAAGTTTTCTTTTCAGTTGGTTTTCCCTGATCCAAAGAAGACCTCTATCTAGCCAACTTCTGAGCTGTTGAAACACCTCTGAGCACATCATCTTCCACTTTTAAGGCATGCTAAAAGGAAGCCTAAGAACAAACTTAGTCTGGTTGTGTAGCCAGTCTTTTCTAGAGTCCCTCACCAATTAACAGCAAGTCAGTATAAAACCTCTGCATGATATTTAAAACCTTCTTAGCATAGAAAAGCTAATCACTGAAACATTCACAGCAGAATAAACCATCTATGGTAAGGCCTAGCTACACTCTTACCACAAATCTTGCGTTCATAAATGAAAATGTTTCTTATTCTTACTGTAAAAAAGTAATAACTTAAGCTTGAGCTTCCTATCTTTAATCCATTTGTGCTGATCTCTAGTGTAGCTGGGTACTATATTTCTGATCAGCTATTATACCCTTTCCATATATCGCACTCATGACATCTACTAAAAGGAGGCAGCAAAATTGGGGGCAAACAGACCCACAGTATGGTATAAATAAGCATTTCCAACCCACACTAGGAGAGCTCTTCCCTGCATTTAAGACAGCTGCCAACAATCTGTCAGAACCTTATAAGCCTAACATTGAATTTATTAGCTATTGCTGGTTGTTAGTGCCAAATCTGCTTACGAAAATCAGCTTGGTGATGGTAGATAATAACTAGAAAAAAAACATTTTCTGTGCCCACAAATATTTCTTATGACAGTTTCCGTTCACTATCAATAAAGGATGATAGGGCAATAGCTGGTTATCTTGGCCAGGACTTTTAATCTGCTCTCACAGAGCAGATGTTGTTGGGCCCCACGAAGTGTGCTGTTTTCTAATTTTCATTACAGATGTGACTAGTAAGATAGTAGGTATTTCCAAAAGGAGTTGGAAGGAAACCGCCACAGTAGGCTGGACCTTCCAGTTCTGGATTGCTCCTGGGATCTTCTCCACAAAACTTAATCCAAGTTTTGTTCCTGCTGGGTACTCTGATGTCCGAAGAAGAAAAGGGTAACCCGTTTAGTGAGGGACACTTATGCATTACACCACAAAGTACACTCAGTTTTCAGCTACTTGGTCCATTTTTGACTGCAGCTTGCAGCCTTTCCTCTCCCTTTGAGCTGTTAAAAACCTTGCTAAATCAGCTTTCTGTCAAGCTCCCTGCTGCAGTGCCCATCCAGATCACTCTGGCTGGGACACACTGCTCCTCTCATCACACCTTTTGGGTGCACCTTCCAGCTCCCCTTTCCCATTGCTTCCAATCTGTGCCCAAGAGGACTTCCAAGTGGCCTTGGAGGATACATTCACAAGGAAGAAACCAAAAGGTCTGGAAACCTTGGCACCACAAGGGAAAGCAAAAGGTAGCAATACATCCCATCAAATGATCTGATAAATGGCTTCACTGACTAGCATACCACCACACCTATATACATATACATGTCTGCCTCTCCCCCTGCCTAGAACTGTGTGAGGATTTGAACTCCTGCATCCTTCTATAAATGCATAAATGTCAGCTGTCAACCACAGCGACACAGAGAGCCGGAGGATGAGGAGTCATGACCAGCCGAACTCCTTGTGTAAGTGAAGGCTGGGATATATACAGTGGAAACCAGTTGGAAGCAGCGTTTGTGCTGGAAGAACTTTGCTGGGGAAGAGCGAGGGCTTGCGGGAAATGTGATGCCCCCAGGAGCTTTCGGGATGGTGTTCACTGGGTCTGTGACTCAGGCACTTTCCAAACACCTGCCATGCCTGGTCAGAGGTGCTCTGGGCTGAGGAGTCCTGTTGGGAAGTTCCTTCAGGAACAGGCTCAAAGGTCAGCATTGGCTCAAAGTTTAGAGATGGCCACACCAACATAGGACAGGATTCACAGGACAAACTCCTTACAGGTATGGTACAACCTGATCTAAGTTACTCCCGTGCTCCATAGGACCCCACTTGCTTCAGCTGTGGTATCTGTGGAATCATACCCACAACGAGCGGCAAAGCAGCAGGTCACCAGCAACTGCCTATATTGCATTGCTTTCTACTTATTTATAGGGAAATTCACATGCATAAAATAAACAAGACCTTTTAGAGACCATGGAGGTTGAGGCAAGGCAAAACCTTGCAGAAGGAAAATGCTCATTGCTAGTGAGCATTTAACAGTCCAAAATGTTACAGGGGACTTTTTAAATTAGAGACTGTACTGGCAGAGGTAGGAGATGCCTTCTGCGTGTCCTCTACACAGCTCATGATGATGCATCCTGTAGAGATGAAGCAATAAAAATTCTGTATTGTCTAAAAAGTAGCTGGCAAAACTAAGATAGCACATGGCAAACAGCAAATAAACAAATAAAGTCTCACCTAAACACAGCACGGAAAAAGAGAAAGCAGAGCCAAATATATACATGCTTCTAAGCCAGCACCACAACAGCAATTAATGAGGAGAGAAACTAGATGCCTGATTTTAATGGATACTGACATAATAGGTGTACCAGAAATTTGATGGGAGAAAGATAATTAGTGGGACAATAACGTCTTGATACTGATTACACTGAAAGACAAAGCAGATGTCATGTACTAAAGCTGAATCAG